AAATAGCTATTTTTCTATCCCCCCCCTCTCCCCCTCCCTCCCTCCCTCTCTCTCTCTCTCACACACACACTCTCTCTCTCTCTCTAGAAATGTAACATCTTTTGTTTCAAAATGGAATTTGAAAGGTGAGGAACATCAAGGGATTGACCTGGGCGAATAGGAAAAAGTTAGGATCAGACCTAAGAACTTCTCCCCCTTCTTGCAATCTGTTTCTCTAGTTCCAAAGCATAAGACGTGAAGGAAGCGGTTTAGGGAAGGCCATACACAGATTTGAACCAGTTCCATAGCACAGGAGACAGCTGCCACTGCCAGTACTTTTCTGATTCTGTCCTTTCCCCGCAGGTAAACCCGACATGCTGCATTCAAGTTCAAAAGCCCAGCCTGGAGACCACTTCTTGAGCCGTCGTAGCAACTCTCTGCTCAGTTGGACAACTGTGACCCAGAACAAGCGCAAGACGTCCAGCAAGGGCACAGTCATGCGGCAAAACCTCTTCCAGCTCAATGGGGGCAGCAAAAAGCTGCGGGCCAAAGAGGTGCTCTTCCCCGTGCACAGTGTTGCTGCCCCCATATTCGGTAATGGCTTCGGCTCGGACTCTTTCAGCCGCATTGCCAACTCGTACTCTGCTTTTGGAAGCTCTGGCCTGATCCTGCCCTGTGCTCAGAAGCTTTTGCGTGCCAAGAAAGTTGAGCGGTTGGACACTGAGTTGGGCAAGGCTGGGCGCAGGAAAGTTGGCGGCGAGTACCTGGTCAAGCTGGATCACGAGGGGGTGACGTCCCCCAAAAACAAAAACTGCAAAGCCTTACTGATGAGCGACAAGGACTTTGGGTCCCTGTCTGGCCATGGCTATGTTCACCCAGCCTTGGGGATTAAAGAGAAGAAGAGCACGCTGCCTATGGGGCTGGCATTGCGCAAATACACTGGTCAAACGGAGTACGGGCTGCACTGCGATAGTGATTGCCACAGCTCTTATTCAGACATGGACGAAGATGAGGTGGATGATCTGGCAGGCAGCGTCCCCTCCCGCTTCCTGACACGGCTTTCCGTCTCCTCCTCGTCTTCAGGATCGTCCACCTCGTCCAGTTCTGGCTCTGGCTCCACTTCTAGCCTCTGCTCATCCGACAACGAAGACTCTTCCTATAGCTCCGATGACGAGGACTCCACGCTCCTTGTGCAGACCTGTCTCACCCACCCAGTTCCGGCCTTGCTGGCTCAGTCGGAAGCCCTGCGCTCCAAGAGCAGCGCCTTGCAGAGGTGTTTTGGCGCTGGGGCCAAGAGCAAGCTCAGGCGCAAAGAAACTCTGAGCTTCGCTAAAGCCAAAGAGTTCTCCCGCCGGCAACGGCTGCCCTCGGTGGAAAACCGGCCAAAGATCTCTGCTTTTCTGCCAGCACGCCAGCTCTGGAAATGGTCTGGGAACCCCACTCAGGTATGGAAAATATCAGGATCCTGCGTGGCGAGTCTGGGCTACACAATAATGCAAGCTGAGGGAAACGGCTTGAATTTGCTTTGTGTGCTAAGGAAAATGATACTGTTGAAGATAGTTCTCGAAGTTTTTTTGGCCTGAACTCTTAGAAGGAAATGCTTAAAAGGAAGTGATTCATGCATTTGGTTATTGATCCCAGTCACTTGGTGATTTTTGAAAGGAGGAGAGGCTAAACTTGGGAAACGTCCTCCCAGCTTCAGACTTCCTGTTGCTGATCAGAAAGGAAAGACCAATTTCCCTTTCTCTAGTTGTTGACAAAAGAACTGTGAATTCCTGTTTTCACATTGTTTTAAGGCTAACTACCTTAGTTGAAATGCTACTTTGCCGCAGTCTTCAGAAGGATGTCCCACTAAAAAAGAGCAAACTTGCTTATTCTATAAATATTTGGGCTATGCATTGTGCTGCATCCATATGCAAAAAGGTGCTTAGTGCTCATATCCACATGCCTTTAAAGCAGCTGCACAATTCCCCAATATTGCTCAGCATCCAAGATACAAATGCGTATCTGTGTGCAGCTGTTTTGCACCTCCTTTGAGCAGACAACAAACCAAGAAGTTCCTCCTTCAGCTACAATCTCCAGTTTAATGGAAACCTTTACGGAGTTGCAGAAAACATCTTCAGACCATGATTTTATGGCTTGTCCTGAAGCCTTTAAAAAGGAAATCTTAGTTAATTGGCACTTCCAGGGCTTGCCTGTTCACTCACTGCGTGCAAAAAAAAAAAAAGGGAATAAAGCTATGTGCAGGAGAGCAAAGGGTGTTCCTATTTTGACATATTTAACCAGGCAGGGATTGTTCTAACAAGATCTGTGGTTTAGCAGCTGATAATCAGTAGCCTTCTCTGTTTTAAAGAGGAAATTTTCTAATACTGGCCACATTCTGCAAATGTGCTGCCAGTGCAGGATGGTAAAGGGTTTTTATTTTCCCCAACTAACAGCCTCCCCTGAATCATTTTTTCTCCAGAGCGGAGGCTGTTCGTTGCAGCTGTACCTGGGCTCGGGCAGATGCAGTGGCCTCTCCTTCTGGCTCTTTCAGACAGCCCGAGCATGGCCGTTCCCTGTGAGGTGCCAGACACGCTCTAGGAGGCTTATTCCTGGGCTGCACTCCATGTCAGTAAATCCCCTTAGGACAGCAGTACAGGATGTATAAGGCATTTGCCAACCCCATTTGTGTTTCCTTGGTTATCCTCTCTCGGGCCTCCTCAAGCAAAAGCATTGGGGGGGGGGGGTGTCTCCTGGTAGCAGAGCCTGGGTTTGCTGTAGTTAAGCTCAATTGCTGTCTCGAGGCTACCCTTTGGAGGGCTTTGTTTCCATGGCAACCCACAGGCTCCCCGGAGGATCTCTTCCAAAGGCCTCACGGCCAAGAGGCAGGGGGCATCCCGGATATCACGCAGGCCGCCACTTACCCTGCTTCTGCATACTCTGTCCCCTGTCCTACAGCGCCGTGGCATGAAGGGGAAAGCACGGAAGTTGTTCTACAAAGCAATTGTACGGGGCAAGGAGACTCTGCGCATTGGCGACTGTGCGGTTTTCCTGTCAGCTGGCCGGCCCCATCTGCCCTACATTGGCCGCATTGAAAGCATGTGGGAGTCCTGGGGCAGCAACATGGTGGTCAAAGTAAAATGGTTCTACCATCCCGAGGAGACGAAGCTGGGCAAGCGACATAGTGATGGCAAGGTGAGGGAAGAAATCTTCCAGTGGAGCAGAGGGTGGCAAACAAGAATGTCCTCCTGGTGCTGGATGAAAAGGCATAATGAGCTGGAGCAGAACAAAACTCGGGACCTCCAGAGAGATCACTGGACGATTGGCAGTAATTAGCAAGGCTTTCTTTAATGACTACAGCAGGGTTTCTTTATAGAATCTTCCTCCCAAATGATGTGGTGGATCTATTAACAATTCAAATGGATACCTCTGCTTTCATTAGTAAATCATCCCTTGATATGCTTTAGATAGCAGAAAAGAGCAAAAAAAGAGCTACCGTATTTTTCGGAGTATAAGGCGCTCCAAAGTATAAGACGCACCTAGCTTTTGGGGAGGAAAACAAAGGGGGGGGGAAATCTGCTTCTGCCTCCCGGCAATTTGCCTCCTTGCAAAAACAGCAAAGGTGATATACACTATTTGTGGTGTTACATTTCAGACTATACTTGTACAGATGCTGTTAAAATTGATGCGCCTTTCTGGAAGTTATTCTCTGCT